AGGTGGAGGTGGAGGTGGAGGTGGAGGTGGAGGTGGAGGTGGAGGTGGAGGTGGAGGTGGAGGTGGAGGTGGAGGTGGAGGTGGAGGTGGAGGTAGGGAGTGAGGTGTTGCTTACCTTAGGGAATGCTTTAAGGGACAACCTACTCTGTAGGCTCCCTTCCTGACTTGGATCTTAGCTTTCATTGTTAATCTCTCTCTGTCTCTCTGTCTCTCTGTCTCTCTCTCTCTCTCTGTCTCTCTCTGTCTCTCTCTCTCTCTCTCTCTCTCTCTCTCTCTCTCTCTCTCTCTCTCTGTGTGTGTGTGTATGTATGTGTGTGTGTGTGTGTTTGAAGTAGAAAGTTGTTTTTTTTTTTTTTAAATAAATGGCCTGTGGATGTAGCTCAGAAGTAGAATGTTTGTCTGGTATAAGTGGGGCCCTGGGTTTGATTCTTGACATTATATACAAGATGTGTGTGTTCCACTTATGGTGATAGATACCCTTAATCCCAGGAATTTGAGTGGCTGGAGAAGGGTTGCAAATTCCAAGGCAGACCTGGAAACATAATGAGGCCTTGTCTCAAAATAACAATGTAGGTGTGTTCTATGAAAGAGTACTTTCCCAGCACGGATGAGGCCCAGTCCTAGAGGAAAAGGAGTTTTGAAAGATTCTTGGTTTTGGAGCCAGATATGGTGATATGCACTCATAGTTCCAGTAAATGAAAGAGGATTGTGAGGTCAAGGCCAGCTGCAGCTCCTGAACATGGGCCCTGTCAAACCAAAACTTAAATTGCTTCTCATATATCCTTAATAATCGGAACCTTGCTGGGCTCAAAATTGAAGCTCAGAAAGAAAGGCAAGGACCATGATCGATCTTGATGGCCATCATTATCTTTCTCCTGACAGTATCAGGTTTCAGTCTCTTGATGAATTTACCTTTAGGTGCACAAAAGGAAGAATAGACCTTGAGTGTGTTGGGAGAACTTTTGGAGTCTCATTAACTTTCCCCTCCTTAAATACAATTTTGAGATGAAGTACATTTTCCCATCTGATGTGGGAACGAGAAAGGGATATTTTTGAGGAGTGCTTGTTTTCAGTTCCAGTTGGATTAGTACTCTCATCTGGACAGGACAGAAGCCAGGTCTCCCATGTCTTGTTCAAATATTTGCTATAATTACTGGGAAAGAGTTAGGAAATTTCGATTTATTTACATGAACAGCATGCTCTCAGTCCAAGGTTAGGACACTGACAAATCGTATCCAAATTATTGATTCAGAAAATGTTGTGCTTTGGATAAAGGTGGCCTCAGGATGTAGTGTTTCATGTCACATTCAGCTATTCTGATTGCAGTTTTAAAGCTGCTTAAGTCAACCTTGAGGTCCCATACCAGGGCCAGTCCTGGCAGCTCTATACATTCTGGATCTTGTTCCCCACAGAATGGGTCTGCTCCGACTTCTGGTGCTCTGCACCCTGGCCGCCTGCTGCATGGCCCGCTCTCCTCCAGGCCCACCCCCGCCACCCCCACCACAACGTCCCTTCTCACCTCTGCAACCCCTGGGCTGTAACGACTCTCAAGTGCTGGCAGTAGCAGGCTTTGCCCTGCAGAGCATCAACAGAGACCAAAAGGATGGCTATATGTTGAGCCTTAACAGAGTTCATGATGTCCAGGAACACTACCAGGCAAGTGACAGACTTTGGGGCAGCATTTGGACAGGCTGCAGGGACTAGCTAGGGGTGGCAACTTAGGGGTATTTGTCAACAATACTCTGCCATCGTCGGCAGGTGTGCTGTAACATTCTTGCTGTCCATAGGGATGGTGACAAGAGTGATCCTACCCTGTCCCACGTCCAGGTTTCAGGAGTATAGAAGAGCATGTATCACACATGAGCTTAGGCTCTTCCAGGAAGGTGCTGTTGGTCTAGTTGTCCTGGAATTGTTTCATGTGGGATGGCGGTATTTCTCCAACTCTATCATAGGAGGACATGGGATCTCTGTTCTACCTCACACTGGATGTCTTAGAGACTGGCTGCCATGTGCTCAGCAGGAAAGCACAGAAGGACTGCAAACCGAAGATTTTCTATGAGGCGGTGAGTGCCTGTTCCTGGGGGCCTGCTCAGTGTCTACCATCTGCTCAGTTTCATTTTCATTATCTCCCAGGCAACAGGCCCATGTGCCAATTCTAATACTGAAGACAGAGCCAAGTTTAGTCAGGGTAGGGAGGGTTCCTATGATTGAGGTCTTGCTGACTAGAGTTGAAAAGTTCCTCCTAAATTATTTTCTATCCTAAGATTCTTTGGCAGCTGAGCCAATGTTTATGGTCTCAGAGAGAGAGGGGGGTTGGGGAGAGTTATTTCTGGTGTTTGAAGACGGTAGGTAGACAGCAGCAATAATAGAGGATAGCTTGTGTTCTTTTGCTTGGCTTTGTTTGAATGAATATCCATATGAGGTTTTCAGATAGAAAAGAGGAAGGCTTCCAGTGTAGGTACTGTCAGGGGCTTCCTGGGCATAAAACTAAACGGCTTCAGAACTCATCCTTTCTCCTTTTAAAAAAAATTATTATTTTTATACGTATGGGTGCCTTGCCTGCATATATATGAGTGTGCACCACACTCATGTAGCGCCCACAGAGACCAGAAAGTGGCGTAAGACACCCCTCCCTTCCCAGTTTCCAACTGACTTCATATGCCATCTGATGGAGGGCACTGAGAACCAAACGGGTTCTCTAGAAGAATAGCAAGGGTCTTAACCACTAAGCCATCCCTCCAGCCTTGAGCTCGGCCTTTCAAAATGGCCACCGGCAAGACCTAACTCTCAGTGATTCTGGAATCTCTTCCACTCACTGATGCATGGAAGATGCATGCTGATGAAGGAAGACAAGATGAGATCGTCAGGAGTTTGAAGTCAACTTTTTGATCAAGATCACCTTTTGTAAATATTTGACCAAACATGCCAACCTGCACCTGTTTTGGTTTTTTTTTTTTAAATAGCCTGTGCCTTCTTGTTATAGTTGGTTTAGTGATACTGCCACTCATGGAGATAGATATGCTCACTCAGGGGCACACAGGTTAAGAGTTTATTTCATGTATAATTTCAAATTTGAAGTTCCTGACCAGGGGATTTTGTTCTGGGCATGATTTGGAGGCTCCACTTCTCCCTGCACTTGTCTCTGACCTTGCCACCCGTGAGTCCCTATTGCCCATGTTCACTGGCATCAGGAGGGAGCAAGGACATGTCATGCTGACGTGGCCTTGGAACATGGCAGTGGGAAGCTGATTCTGTCATTTCTGCAGTTAGAACTAGGCGATCCACACCTGAGTGTGAGGGGACTGGGAAGGTAGCTGTGTCCCGGGAGTTCTAAACAGTAGTTCTTCCCACCCCCAAACACAGAACTGGATTTTAAGTTTCTCATTCCATTAAGATAAAATTCTTCTTTGGGGAGGGGTGGTGTTTAACCTCTCTACAGCATGTCAATTCATCAAGTATATTTGTTTTTTCCTAGGTTTATGGTCAGTGCAAGGCAATGTTTCATATCAACAAGCCAAGAAGAGTACTCTATTTACTGGCTTATAACTGTACACTTCGCCCAGGTAAACATCAAGAGGGTTTTGTACATCTTGACATCAAAAAACAGAAAAGAGTATTGAACTGGTGCCTTTGTCAGGGTGGCAAGCAATTTCTCTTCTCTTCCTCTGTATTCATCACTGCATAGCTCCAACACCACCTCCATACTGACACTCACTACGTACCCCTCCTCCCAGGGGATAGCCTTCCTAAATTATTGTCCTAAAGCTATGTCCTGCTCTAGATCCTAAATGTGCATTCTTCTATGAGTGACACAATAGCAACAGCCTGTCCCAGGATCCTTTCTGTCTGTCCCACTGTCCTGACACCCTTCCAGCTGGCTGCAGTGCTGTCAGAACACACACTGCACTCTCCTGTCTCTGCACTCTCCTGTCTCTGCACTCGCTTGAGCCTTTCTCTCCACCCTTGTTGGCTTCTGTTACAGAACTCTTACCCCCCGCCCTTCAAAAAAAAAAATCCCCAATGATGTTTTCAAGATGTTCTTTACTCAAGAAAGGAATGATACTTTCCTGGTGTAAATTTTTTTCGCTTTGGCTAAAGCACTCATAAAACGCAGGACAGAATATGCATTGATTTATAGTCTATGATGAACATGTACAACCTTGATTTATAGTCTTGTCTTATATCTTCTATCATATGAGGTGCATGCCCCTCTCCCCCAGTTAAAGACTTCGTAATTTATATCAAATTTCGGAGGTCATTACCATTGCTGAATAACAGGCAAGAATAAGGCTGGAATGAATGGACCATTGAAATAAGTGTGTGCACTTCTCCCTCTGGAGCCTGCTTTTTACGAGAGAGGGTCTTGAAAAGCGGTAGCCCACTGCATGGGAAAATGGGAAATGTCTACTAACAGCTTGTGCTTCCTCACTGTGAAGACAGGGCCAGCCTGAAATCAATCTGGGGATTTCTGAAAATGGTGGCAGTGATGCCATAGGTGTCAGGAGTAGGTGATGAGGCACACATGACAAGTTGTGGGCACAGCTGTCCCGCCATCTTCTTCCACCCCCAAACATTCATTAGGGAAGACAATGGATTTTCTCTGAAAACACCCCAGGACCTGATGATCACACACTTGCCCTCTCCAGCTCCTCCTGTCATAGCGTCATCCACTTGCTTTACAGGCCTCTGCTGGCTAGTCAGTATGTGCTAGGTTTATTCTTGGTGCTGAGGACCAAAGCAGAGAAGTAACTCGTGGCAATAATGAAATGCCAGCCTCTCAAAGGCCCTTGTCTACAGGAGCAATGATGAGAAAGGACCTTGAGCTAGGGAAGGGACACAAAACTACAATACTCTCATCTACCAGTTTTGCTCTTGAGAACTGTGTAATTGTGTTGAAAAAAATCTCATAATGCTTTAAGCATTTTTACAATTCCATGTTAGGCCACATTCCTTGCTGTCTTTGACACTGTGTTGTCCACCAGCTACTGGTTGGATATGCCCCATGTGGTTCTAAACAAAATTCCTATCTTAAATAAGTCCATCAGAGGGCAAGGCTATCTCATTTTGATTTCTTTTTAATTACAAAAGGAATAGTGCTTAGAGACTGGATATTAGCTCAGATGGTAGAGTGTCAAGCGTGTGTGAAGGCCTGCTTGGATCCTAGCACTATAGAAGCCAAGCATGATGGCACATGCCTGAAAGCCTACTCTCTGGCAAGAAGACCAGGAGTTAAATGTCCCTTTGATTACAGAGGCCAGCCTGGGATACATGAGACCTTATTTCATGAAGGAAAGAAGGGAGAGAGGAAGGGAGGGGGGAGGGAGAGAGGAAGGGAGGGAGGGAGGGAGGGAGGGAGGGGAGGAGGGAAAGAGGGAAGGAGGGAGGGAGAAAGAAAGGAAAGAAAAAAAATAAAGTTCTATTTCTGTTATTATCGTATTGCCAACAACTAAGTGTTTTCTAAGAAAAATGTCTTTATCACAGAATCCTTACCAGTACTGGATATTATCATTTTAGCCCAGTCTTTGCCTCTGGTATAGTTGTATGATTACGACTATTATTAGGACTGAAAACTAATACTATTTATAAACTATTCTCATCAATAGTTTCTCAAAGAAAGACTCATACAATGTGCCCTGACTGCCCGAGACCCTTTGACTTGTCAAACCCCAATGTTCTGGAAGCTGCCACAGAATCGCTTGCGAAGTTCAACAGTGAGAGCCCATCAAAACAGTATGCACTCGTGAAAGTCACCAAGGCTACGGGCCAGGTAAAGCTAAAAATGCCCATGTCAGTTACAGAGAAGTAGCTGCAGGGTCTTAGGTTGGGGGAGGCTGTCTAGGCATTCTGTCTGCCGACGTCCTAAGATCATTTCCCTACATCCCCCTTTCTAGGAGATCCACTGTACATTCAGTCATGTTACAGCTTTTGCTATTCCCTGGAATTTGTATAAGTAGCAGGTGACTTGACTTTCTTAAAGCAAAAAGAACACTCCCAGTTTCATGTGAATTTGGAGTGAAGTAAGTGCAGTATTTTTCTGACTGATTATGGACCATTTAGCAAGACAACATTTGTTTCATTAAGGCCTGGGGTAGGTGTTGAACTTTATGAATTGTGGAATAGGAGATTCATTTATATTTCAATTATGTGGATAGCTCTTGAATATAAATAAAACTAAAAGCAAATCTTCATAAGAAAAATAAGCTAACCAAGAAAATTGCTTAGGCTGTCCTTCACATCTTTAACAAGGTAAGGCACTGAGTTTGTTTGTTTTTTTTCTTTTAATTTTATTTCATGTGCATTTGTATTTTGTCTGTGGGAGGGTGTTAGAACTAGAACTAGAACTAGAACTAGAACTAGTTCTAGTTCTAGTTCTAGTTCTAGTTCTAGTTCTAGTTCTAGT